GGGGAGAGGGGGGGGGGGGGAGAAGAGGTATAAAGGTTGCTCTTGCTTTCCACCAATGCAGCTGTACATACGGCTGGTTTTCCAGCATATAATAGAATAGGCGAAGACTGCTTAAACTCTAGCTACAACCAACCCCCAGGGGCCAAAGCTACAATCAGGAACAGACAGCACAAGGGAGTCCCAACCAGTGTTCCCTGCAAGATGAGAGAACATAGGAGTGCCAGACTGGGTCAGACCAAAGGCCCATCTAGCCCAGTGTCCTGTCGGCCGACAGAGGCCAATGCCAGGTGCCCCAGAGGGAGTGAACAGAACAGGGAACCATCCAGTGATCCCTCCCTTGTTGCCCATTCCCAGCCCCAAACAAACAGACGCTAGGGACACCATCCCTACCCTGCCTGGCTAACAGTCACTGATGGACCTAACCTCTATGAATCTATCTAGGTTTTTTTGAATCCTGTTAAATAGCTGGGCAGCTTGGGCAGCTACTCAGGAGAGAGATTCAGGTGCCACCCAGATGACTAGCAGAGCCCTCACAGCCGCCGGCAATATATGTTTCTAGTGGTGAGATGCATCTGCAAATGCCTTAGTGCACATAACTAAATTTATTCTGCACATGGGTAGACAAAAGTTAGGGGAAACACTGGTCACAAACACACCCTCTTTCCTCTAGTCAACAGCATATGCTGGTAGTTGGGTGAGGGGGGCAGAGACTGCTCTATGCCAGAAGAAATCCCTCAGGTGTTGGGACGATCCTCCCAGGGCCAAATACACCAGCTCAACAGTCAGACTCTCTACACAGTGCCATACAAAGAGGACACGTTGCACAGATGGATCTGGTCAAACAGGGGCATCACCATAATAAAAGCAGCACTCATTTGGTTCCTTTAATCTCCAGCTATCAATCATTTCACAACAGCGAGTGCCATTACCCCCATTTTGCAAATGGAGAAACTGAGTCACTTTGCCTAGGGGCCTCATCCAAAGCCCACAGAAGCCAAGAGCTGTCTTTCCACTGACTCCCATGGGCTTTGGCTCAAGCCTAGAGTGACCTTCCCCA